CAGAGCCGGTGACTCCTGCGCGTCACAGGGAGGGAACCGACCCCCAGATAAACTCTGCTGACGGTCCCAACACGCGATGGGTGGAAAAGGAACTACAGAGCAAGAACCTGCCTGTTTGCTGGGGGGTGGGGGGTGGGGATGAGAGAGTTTTACCCACTCATTCATAAAATAAGGTGCCAAAACAATTAACTCGAATTACCATTTCTAACCTACTTCCACCATTTGCCTGGTATTAACTTTCTAGGATTTGGTTGTTATTACAGAGGCTGGCTGTATACAAGGAAATCTGTAAACATGCCCTTCTGACTGAAACCAACCCAGCGTGGCTCTGGGGCCAAGGGGACGAGGGTTCCCTTGGCTCTCTTGAAAGAGCTATTTCCTATAGGGCAGCTGCCAAATGGTTAAACTGGTATTAGTGGCTGACCACAATTGTTGGTTGGCTTGGAAAAAAGAGCTGTTATTTTAAGGCTGGAGCGGTAAGACTCAGAAACCACCGTGTACTGTTATGGGCTGGGCGTAACTGCCACCCTCCTTTTACGATAGCCAGAAGAAACAGTTGCCCTCTTTAAGGAATAGATAGTGAAAAGAAGCCTCCACCCTGGGCTGAGCCGCTGACAGGCAGCGGGGTTTGCCAGATACTGCCCTGTGGAAGCGCTTATGGCTATAACAACATATGGCCACAGGTTGCCTTTGCCGGAAGAGATCAAAACAAAACGACTGATGAGACATAGAGGAGTGCCAACCTCCTGCTGACAGATCCACTGGGAAGCATGCGGAATTTCACGCAGGATTTTAGCCAAAGTCCTGCCTGGATTTCTCCCTTAGGGTACACCTCAGGTGGTCTAGCGAGCACCCAAATCCAATTGTCATCCACACGCAGAACTGCCGAGGCTTATAGAGACCTTACACCCATGTCCTTGGGCTTTCCAAAGCCTATAGGGTCAAAAACAGTCTTACTAGCCTCTCGCCCTATTTCTACCTTCTAAAACCAAAAGCATAAAACAAGGAGTTCATTCATAAACATTAATGAGGCTACCTGAGGGACTGTATTCTGTAGCATCATCATAAAATAAGACAAGCAATACTACTGCAGGATAATCTCTTTGTAGCTGACAAACATCCCTCTCACCTATTTTTAGGGATACTTTAAAGTGTTTCAAACTAGTTGAATAATTAAGGCTTTTTTCTTGGCTCTGGAGTTGCACAATTTTTCGCTCTGAAACACTTTCTCCCTCGAACCACAATCTCATCCTGCAGAGCACGCCAAGCTGGGAGCATTACAAAGGCGAGGGGCGGCAGCCCCAATGGACAGGCTTGCCTAGGACAGGCACCTGGCATCGAATGCGCAGTCCTGCTAGTCATCTCCAGAGCATCCCTCCCATTTCTCATAGGCCAAGGAAAATATTCCCTAAGACGCTTGTTCTAGGAAGGCCAGGGAAGTTTTGACAGCTGGTCAAGGGGCAAAGGAGATATTTTGGTAGCTGAGAGACAGCTGGGTTGAAGGTTTTGTCTTAGCACTCGCAGCATGGTTCTGAAAGCAGCGGAGGGCTGAGTAGCAAATGGGTGAATATAACCCCCATAGGGAAAGCTTCTGCTCACCCCCAGAACTGCCACTGCTGAAAGAAATTCTCCTGCAGTGCCCTCTGCCCCGCGCATTGCACCTGGCCCTGTGTCTGAGCGCTTTCCTGCGGTGCACCAAGAAAACAGCCTGGAAAGGTGGCTGAGCAAATCCAACCTTTTGCTGCAACCTCTTCCAGGCCATGCGATCCCACTTCCTTCCACACCCCAGCTCCGGCCTTCACCTGACCCCTCTGGGAGCCAAGGCAGCTCACTAACCTAACAAAAAACAAACAACAAAGCCCAAAATTCAGCCTCCTTTTTTGCTGGGTAAGTATTCTGCTGGGTTAGCGGACTGAACCAGCATACCACGCAAGTACCAGAGCCGAGGCAAAGAAGGGCGCAGAAGGGTACAGCCAGGAGCAGGGACACACTCCTAAGAAGTGTGGGTGTGCAAATTTTAGGGGTTTCGTTTGTTTTAATATTACAGATTACTGTGTATTTATCCTATAGGAAGCATGAGGAAAAAAAAAACAAAACCAAAAGAAATTTCAGAATGCCTGGCTCTTGGCACAGAAGGCAACAAGGTCTGCAACGATGCTAGGAGACCTCAATGCACAGTCTTGTACCTTCCCTTCAGAAAGTTCTGACCTGATCCCCACCATGAATGCTACAGGCAGGATTTATTTTGCAAACACATGCTACGTTTTTAAGCAACTGTCAGCCATACACTGCATCCCACAGCAGGGACCCAGGCCAGGCAGTATCTTGAATATAAGGACCAAGGCATACAATTTGGTTCAAGATCCCATAGCAAGCAGACAGCACCCAATACTTGCAGTAGCTTATTGCTGAGAAGATGGACCGTAAAGTCCTGTCCCAGCTGGAGTTGCCAAACACTGAAGGCTTCTGGCCCTCATACCTCATGTTGGTGCTGTCCAGGGAACGGCAGAGGTGCAAACAGCTGAGGACACGTCATTACCCGCCACGATGGAATGACACCTCCTCTTCAGCTAGAGATGATAGAACAGGATGGCTGCTGTGAAAAAACCTGGAGTCACCAAGAAGACCTCCAACAAATCAACAGATCGCATAAATACACTTAAAATTCAGGAAGGTCATCCACGGTTACAATGAAATGCCGCCTTCTGCTCCCTAGAATTGCCTGAGCTCTAGAGTAAGTTCACATCTTCTTCAGCCAACAGCCAGATCTCATCTGAACACTAGCGACAGTTTGGTGGGGTCGGCCTTCTCACGGCCCTGTCCTGCTCCAGTTGCGGCAGATGGCTAGCAAAATAAGGCCCACCATGTATTTGAAGCTGTTCAGAAATCAGAAGTGCCGAAAAGGACCAGAGCGATAACTGATCTTTGTGGAACACCATACGATGGCTGTAGTAAGGAAACTGCATCCTCACCACCACTGATCAGCTCCACAGCTCATCCAGCCATTCTCACAATATACCTCGACCATTTCGTTCCCATCAGTGAGACTATGAATGCCTCAGAGGGATCCTGGAGGACGACAACTGTATGTAGAAGATTAGTCCTCAAGACCTTTGACAAGGTTCCCAGTCAGAATCCAGATTGTCCTGATGTAGAAAGTTAGCCCGACATTAACTTGTACTTGACCTCTTGCTAGTTTCACTAGGCACTTGCTCAGCACTTGGGATGATTTCAGCCAGACAGTTGATTTGAATTGATGTCGTGTCCTTACTGGGTTTGTCCAATATTGGTCAGACCACGTTGTGCTTGTTGTGTTGGCCATCTTGATCATGGGTAGCATCACCTACTAATAGCTAGGAAGAAGCTGGTATGAATTCACACATTGAATTTTCAAAGCATCTCAGTGAATTAGAAATACACCAGTCACGGAAAAATGACTAGGGCCCTCGATGCAATGGTATCCTTAAAATGAGCTACTGTGTCTGAAAAGCTTCACAAACATACATGATCGTTTCCAGGAGGAATAAAACAGTTACCTGGTTCCCATCTTGGAGGGGCAGCTCAAGTACACAGTGCATTGTCAAAGCAGTTTCCTTACTGAGGAGCTGCTTGGGCTCAGATTCGGCAGCATCACTGGGAATAGCCACAAAAGTTCTTCTGGTCTGCAGCGTACATGCTTGAAGATGTGCTATTTCACCCCATCAGCTTTTATTTTCCAGTGCTGATACCCAAGTTTCCACCTTTCTGTCCACCAGCTGACGGAGGTGTCAGAAAGCCAGGGAAGTCTGCGGGGGCAAATAACTGCAATGAGGTATTGGATGCCAATACAGAGTCAGTCCTTTTGTCCTTTACCCAGCTTTGGAGTATGTTGAGCCCACGACTGTGTGGTTAAATTAGGAGCACCCATGTTGTTGTGCTCCTGACCACTGCACTGGGGAGTCTATTCGAGGCAAGGAGTACAGGAGGCATCAAGAAATCTCACTGGAAAGCCTGGGGCCATCTGCCTGCTGTCCTCCTGAGCTAAGAAGTCATTTTCTGAGGCCTTCTAGGCCACAGAACGCCATGGGTCACAGGAAAAATAGAAGTCTCCCAAAAAGAAACGCTCTTGCTGTTCCCAGGGTGAGAAAGTTCAGGAAATCATTCAGTTCAGTTATCATTTCTGATAAATATTCAGGTATGCAACTCAGTTCCCATGAAACATTTTTTCAGGCAACCCGGACACCCAACGTCAGCACGCTGAAGATGTGCTCAAGGCCCTGGTGGGAACACCAGAGAGGGGGCTACCCACGTCTGTCACGAGGGGTTAGCTCCAAGGCAGGTATCAGCAGAAGGGTCCATTCCACCAGCCCCATTCACAGCCCTTCCCGAAGGCTGGGACCACACCGGGCTCGCACGGTTCACAGGCGGCTGAACTCCAGCACGCCAGCTCTGTGAAATGGTCCTAGCTTAGACACAGCAATCCCAGCACATCGTCATGTGTTCCTCGCAGCGGCGTATCAAACCATCCTGCCCTTAGCAAAGCCAGTTATTCCATTGTGGTCAGTAAGCTGCAGTTTAAGCAGTATAATTGCAATTGCATTTGGCGCTTCCACTTCTGTCTGGTTCGCATCTCTTCACAACCCTTACCCACTGGCAAAATTCTCTGGTGAAGACTTGACCCGAATGAAAAGGCTG